TGGATGGATGGATGGATGGATGGATGGATGGATGGATGGATGGGTGGATGGGTGGGTGGATGGATGGATGGATGGATGGATGGATGGATGGATGGATATTTCCTCATCTATTCTCTTGTAATTGATCTCCAATTTATCAAACACTATCATGCCACCGCCTAGTTCTGAAGGCCGGTAACATCCCTGACTTACAAATGGAACAAATGCTTTACCCCTAATATCTTCACTGGGTTTTCTCCTTTCCTGCACCATCCCAATGTCATCATACAAGGCACTACTCAAATGGGACAGCAGCTAACTCAACTTGTCTTTACAGCTAAAAAGGATGTTTACATCTTTACCCATCCAGCCTTCTCTTAGTCTTGCCTCTGAAAAAGAGTGCAGCTTCTTACTTCTTTTTTTAAATTAGAGTTTATCAGGGTGACAATGGTTAGTAAAGGTACATAGGTTTCAAGTGTATGATTCTGTAATACATCATCTGTATATCACATTGTGTGCTCACCACCCAGAGTCAGTTCTCCTTCCATCACCATATATTTGACTCCATTTACCCTCATCTACCACCCCCCTTCTCCCTTACCCTCTGGTAACCACTAAACTATCATCTGTGTCTGTGAGTTTTTGTTTCTTTGTTTATCTTGTTCCTTTGTTGCTTTCAGTTTTATAACCCACATATCAGTGAAATCATATGGTTCTTACTTTTAAAATGCTACCTCAGCTCTGTGCCTTTCATAACTTTCTTTATCTAACCTTTGTGTACACATATCTGATCTTTCCTGCCAGAGTACAGGTTCCTTAGGGAAATTGATGTATTGCATGTTCTCCACAAAACTCTGCGAAGTATGTCATCAATAAATAGTATTTTCTAAGAAAATTAGTCCTCTGTACTTCCCACAGGGAAAACAAATCCCACTAATTATTCCACTTCTCTCTCTTCTCAGTTTTAATCTCACCACTCCCAGTGATACCTTACCCTTTAAAATTTAATGTTTCCCATCCTAAAACAAAGGAAGCTTTTTCTGTACTTCCATCACCCTCAAATAAGTGGTTAATATTTTTGCTTCCTGCCTTAATAAATTTGACAGAACTGCATAAACTTTCTTATCACCCACTCACCCCTTAAGCCTTGCAATTGTGTTTTTCTCCTTATGACCGATTTCCTTCCGGAAGGTTCCCAGGAACAAACCAGTGGTGTTTCTGTGGGCCTTGCCCTTGACCACACTGTTGCCTGAGGATGTTGAAGGCCATTTCCTTGGCTCTTGAAGCAATGCCCAGTCCTGGTCTTTATTCATCACTTATTTATTGAGACTTACTATTATATGTACTAGGCAGTGAGGATGCAACTATGAGCAAAAAGACACAGCAGTCCCTGCCCTTCTAAGTCATGGTCTAATCACTGGGAGGGACAATGAAATCGTCAGCAAACATGTAACCACAACTGGAGATCAGTGCTATGAAGGGAAGTACAGCTGCCTTCGCCACAGACAGCTTTCCTCTCTGGCCACTCCTCTGTCTACTTCTGAGCTCCTGTTCCTCTCTGGCCTCTGAAGCAAAATGTTCCTCATCCTTGGACCCTCTGTTTCTCCCTGATTGTCTCGTATACTCCTAGGGCCTCACCTTCAACCTCCTGACCCATGAGCCCAAACCAATACCTAGGCTGCATTGTCTACCACCTACTGGGCATCACCAAAAATTTCACACACCCCGAACTCCACAAACCTTTATCTCCTCTTTCGCAACCCATAATCAAACAAAACGCAATCCTAACAGTTACACACAAATCAGATCTTCTTCTGGAATTCTCCACTTATATTGTTAGTAGCAACCATCTCCCGGTCACAGGCTTAAACCTAGTATCGTCTTCTCTCCAGCCCCCCCAGGTCCCAAATATGGTCATGGAACTGTCACTTAAAACCCCAATAATGTCCATCTACCCGTCTCTGGCATTCAAGGCTCTGGGGCCCAACTTATTTTTCTCCTACGATCTCCCAATACTTCAGCTCCAGGCAAAGCTCACTCCAGTCCCTGACGCTCCTCAGGGCCCATGCTTGGACTCTTCCTTCCACCAGAAGTGTCTCACCTGCCCCCAGACACACACCCTAGGATCTATTTCTGTGTCAGAGATGATATTACGCAGCCATTCAAACTGATGGGAAGGCCTTGTAGCAAACTGGGTAAAATGTTTGTGAGATAATTTTATATAACAAAAGCAAGATATACAATTATTTCCCATTTTTATAATTATCCATATAAAAATATAGAAGGAAATACATCAAAATGACAAAAATAGTTGTATTAGAGTGGTAGAATTATGGATGAGTTCTTTTTAATTTTTCTAGATTCTAAATTTTATTTAGTGTAGTTTTGTAAATAAATTTTTATTTTATGATAGAATTAGACTTACAGAAAATTTGCGGATATAGTATAGAGAGTTCCTGTGTACCCTATACCCAGCTTCCTTTATTAACATCTTACATGAGTATGGTACTTTTGTCACAACTAAATGAGCCAATCATTTAATGTGGCTTTTAAAAATTTTTTTTAAAAAGAAAGAAACACAACTCTAGCTTGGTAAACCAAATAAACAACATAAATAGAGGAAAACGTCATTCTTTCCATGACCTCTAACTCCAACTTAGCATAGTTGCTAAGTTGGAAAAATAGTTGCTATTTTTCTTATAACTTCAGCCCCTCTTGGAGTGGATTCTTGGCTACAAACTAGAACAAAGGTTGCTTTACTATCATTAGCCATATATTTGTACATGTAATTAAAGTAGTGAAAACTTAATTATTTGATAAAGGTTGTAATAAATTAAAGGAGCAGGATAGCCCTAGGAGATGGGGTATTGATTTTAATTTACTAAAAGTAAAAGGTACTTTATGAAATTTTGCCTGAGATGTCAGACTTTAATTTTTGACCCCAGGACACTTCAGTGTTCCTCCTTTGTATCATTCAAACAAGACAGCTAACATTAAGTGCTCGTAGAACAGATTTTAGTTTTTAAGTTCTAAAAATCACTAAAACAGCAAATATGAAATATTCTAAAGGACATGTTTTCAGCTTAAAACTTTTAATGTTTGAGCTATAGAAAATGGAGTATGGGGTTTTTTGGGTTTTTTTTTTAAACATTTCTTCCCTAGTGAGTTTTCTTTGTTCTAACTGCCAAGTTGGTTTCAAAGAATCTTTCTGAATATCTAGCAGTTAGAACAAATCCTGTAGATTATACAAAGAACCAACTGAAATAGCTAGGCACCAGCCTACTTTTTATAGGAATACAAGGCATTCTGTTTTAAAGCAGAAATGAAAAAAACAAAAACTCAAATAGTTTTTTTCCCCTTTTTTTAGTTGATAAGTATATTTTCATCGTTTAGGATGGATAGTCTTTGCTTCACATAGCCAGAACTGTAACACTAAAATTAGAAAAAATACTGAACAGTGTCCTTATGTATATTCTGTACCTAACCTAAATGGTTTTGAAAAATCCCAAAAAGCAAAGTAAACAATATAGCATTCTTATATCTTTCAGGGAGTCTATAGTATGTCACAAAAAAAAAATGTGAGGAGCAAAACGTTGTTAAACAAATTAAGAATTACAAGGGGGAAAAAAGAAAAAAATATATATATATATATTCACTAAAATAGTTCAAATTCAATCAGTATCAAAGTCAATCACTAGATTGTAATTCCAAGGAAAATGCTGAGTAATAAGATTAATAAAGAAGAATATGATATCCACAGTGGGTGACTGGAGACCCCCAAATCAAAATTAAAGTAGCACCAGTGACAACTTTCAATTATAATTTTTATAATTGAAATTGCTTGTCTTATCGCCTGTATTACATTACTTGGCTTTATTACAAAAGTGATTTGTCTATCCAAGAACATCATTAGTAATGATTTATTAAGACCGACGTTTTAAAAGCAAGGTTAAACAAAACTTCAAATTTGTCTTGTTAAAAATGAACTTGGTGTTATGGAAGGAGCAAGACTCCACTTGAGGCAAGTAGTGCTTTTTGAGACATTTAATGCTCTAAATATAGTTTAGCAGATGAAAGGTATTGTGCAATTTACTAATGAGCTTTGGTGAGTGAATGAGATGGACAGGACAATACAAGAAGTAACTGAAGCACAAGGCAACCCGAGGAAGTTTCTGGAAGAATGTACCTCAAAAGACGAACGGTGGAATGACAGGAAATTCTCTCTCTTTTTTTTTTTTTTTGGTACATTTTTACCAAAGTTTAAAATAACAACCATTCTTGTATAACCAGAAACCAATAAATGTATTTGCTTTCCAGAAAAAGACAATGAAAATAATATGTTAAAGTTTGACTTCTGATATCTGAAAAAAGTAAAAGTTTTATAAAATATTACAAAAATGTCATTAGGCTGTTTCGTTTTGTTGTAGCTTAATAAAAAGTTCCCATCCACAACATACCAACTACATGGGAAAGAAAGCAGTTCTCCTTTCTAAATCAGTGACATCGTCTGTTTTGAGCATACAAATAAATATTTATTGCACAGAAGAGATTCAAGCCTCCACAGTTACTAGAAGTAACAGAAGTTCTATGGATAGGCTATATTACTGGGATGCTTAAAGATCATTTCTAAACTTATTTTGTTGGCTAAAACTCCTGTTCTTCTCTTTATTTTTAAAGCTCTAGAAGATAATTCCTAAAAAATAATTTAAAAATCTGGTTGGCTTAGCACGTACCTAAAGGTAGAAATATAACTGAAATTATTCTTACCTGATGTTGCACATCAGAATTTGTTGGGCAGTTCAAAGTAATTGGATCACACTCCTCAGCTAGGAAAAAAAGACAGAAAGCTTGATAAAGACAGCACACACGCTGTGGTGAAAGCCTGAAATTAAGACTCCATATGATGTGTCGCCTTCCCATCTGGTAAAACCAGGAGGGCCTCAAATGGCACTCTGCTCCACAGAGAAGGCCCCCTCACTAAACAACGCTCCTTACCAAGGGGACCAGCACAGTCCCTGCTAATCCCTGCGTGGTGGGCTTCAGTTCCCTGCCAGCCCGCAGAATTAATCAGACAAACCCATCTGTCTCATCCTCCATCAGGGACCAGGGGGCACCACACCCTCTTGTTACTACAACGCCTGCCTCCCGTGGCACCTGGCTGTTCTCTCTGTTGCCCAGTGGAGCCCAAGTGTGGCCCTGCATGGTGGGCTGTGTCTACTTCCCCCAAGCTGTGAGCATATGAGACTCATAAACGGCTGTGGATGGCATCCGTCCAGTGTCAGGCGTAGTGTGTTTGGCCATCCCCACCCCCAGGGCAGGATCTTTCTCTCACCAATGGGGTGAATAAGAGGCACTCAAAACTCACTCTCTGATTGACATTACATCAATTCCACTGTGTCACTCATTTGTCTGACATTTGACTAAGTCTTTCAGTCAGCAGAGTGAGTTTATACTTGTCTTGCCAGTTCCCCCTCCCAAAATTCAAATGCAAAGGCATGTCAGTTCTATTGTGAAAGTGGGGATTGCCAGGGTGGTCAAAGGAGCATGCTATGCATGTGAAATGTTTAACACCTTTCAAAATTCACTGATACAAATGAGCTTCATCCTCAGATTGTCTCACATGTTGTAACGTAGCTTCCCAACGTGTAGGGAAAGTTATACAAATGTGTTAAAAACTGATTTTGTTCCATCAGATTTTATTCTTTAACCACAGAATTTAACGTCGCACTCTAAACTTAACAGTTCACAGAACTGTAGTATGTTATGAAAGAAATGTTTTGTGTCATGTACATTTTTAGAGTGATAGAGCCTTAAACAGAGAATAATTTAACTCAGGGCTCAAAAGTTAAGAACGAATGAAAGATTGATTCCTCTATTTATTTTTTACATTTATAAACATTTCATTCACCTATTGTGTACTGAGTGGCTAGATTTATTCAAATAAGGGGCTATATTCATTGCCTCCAACACAATTATGACCAGAGTAACAGATTTTTTCCTTGATAGTATTACCCAAGAAATTTAAGCTAAAAGCAATGGTCTTTTACTGAAATTCTATGTGTTATCTTTTTAAGCTAGAGCAGCAGAGATCTATCTAGCTTGTGTTTCTTAAAATGCAGTCCTCTGCTCTCTTGCATCTGAGTCACCTGGGCTGCTTATTAACAATGCAGATTCTTAGGCTCCATCCCAGACTCCTTAACTGGAATCTCAGGGACCCCAGAAATCTGACATCCAACAAGCACCCCACAGACAGACTCTAGCGCAGACTAACGTGTGACTCTGCACAGTAGAAAGTAACGCACCTGTAATTTCAGCCATACTTCCTCTCACAATAGCTAGTGTCATAATCGTCAGCCCAGGATTTTTGTAAAAGTGAGTTTTTTGTAAAAGTGAGTTTTTGTAAAAGTGAGGATAACTTGATTTTAAATAGCAACTTTTCTTATGTGGTATTCCAAGCACTCCTGTGGTCACCTCGCTTCTGCCCTCCACAAAAGAAAAAAAGTTTTGCAGAATGGTCACCTTTGTATTCGTGTCATAATTTGGGGGAAGGGAGGTTGAGTTTTTGGTTTATTATAACAGGAGATTCCCAAAAGGGTCTCGGTCAAGGTGGGTGGGAGGGAGTGTACTTATAGAATGAGCAGGGCCCGGACACACAGCAAGCCATGCAGGTGGTCGGGTGCTCGGTTTCATGTTTGAACAAGGAAACCCGTTAACAAAAGACTGCCAATCTGCGAGGTGAGAAATCATATCAAACACACCATATCAGCTTGCTAGTTTGAGGGCAGACATTTTTACTCTTGAATTATTTTAGTGACTTCCTTACTACTTGTTTATTTTCTCCTAACTTTTTCAAACCGTTATGACAAATTGAAGAACTACTACTTCTACATTTAGTTAACAAATTGTTCTAAAATGCCCCCCACCCACAATGATCATCTAGGCTTAAGTTCAAATTCCTCAAAAGTATTAACAATAGAATCAGTCTACTCAAGTTCCCTTTTAACGTTAAATTCACTATAAAAATTTTTGAATACTAAAAGAGCATTCACACTAGAAAAAAATGAAGATGATAAAATCTTAATTGATTTATGATGTATTCATGTGCAATGTCCCCTCACTATGTATAGTGCCTCAAAACTCAGAATTCTTTCCCCAAGGATATTTTTCCTCAAAATGTGAAGTCACATTTCCTTCAGAATACCCAAGCCAGCGTCTTCCACAAACTATCAGGAATTCTGTCCAACCTTAAATTAGCCCTGAGTTCAGTGGTTGTGGGCTGTCACAGAACACCCACCATAAAAGTGGCCATACAGAATGAACCCCCTGAGGTCTACAAAATCAGGGGATACGGAAGCTACCCACTCATGCCCAATGAGAAACAAGTATAATAACATTTTTCATCAAAAACATGCTGATCACTGAAATTACACTAGATTTCCACAGCTGATTTATGGTAAAACCACATGATTCAAAATCGCTCTGGTTTGAACTGCATTAAGGAATGAACTTTCTGCTGTCCATGAATAAAGTAGAAATATACAGAGGCGTAATAAAGAGTTTGTGAAACAGGCTTCATCTGCTTAAGAAAATACATGTTGGGTTCTTTTTAACTAAATGGAAATTACTTGAGCCAATTACAAATGACTCATCTATTCAATAAAGTAAGCTCCCCTAAAATTCACTTAAATGTTGGAGTTTCAGTTTGTACTTAATAAAATTAGATGACATTTACTTTTTGTTTTGTTTTAAGATTTTATTGGGGAATTGGGGGAGGGGAACAATGTTGGGGAATCGGGGAAAGGGAACAGACAAGTTGCTGTCCCTTTGTTCTTCAGTCTAGTTGTGAAGGACGTCGCTTCACTGGTCCATGTTGGTATTATTATTGCACTCTAACCGGGTGAGGCAGATCGGTCACCAGCCACTGGATGGCCGCTCATGGCAGCTCATGGAAGCTCATGCCAGCTGCCAGCCACTCACAGTAGCTTATGGGAGCCCACTGCAGCCCTGCTGCAGCCTACACTGTCATCGGCGACTCGCGGCAGCCCAGCTCCAGGTCGAGCTGTTGTTCACCATCTTAGCTGTAGAGGGTGCAGAGTCACTGGCCCTAATGTGGGATCTGAACCGGCAGCCCTTCTGCTCAGAGCTGGTGTCCCAAGCCACCTCTTAACCAACACGCCACACGGCCAGCCCAGATGACATTTACTTTTAAATCTATAAAGTAGTCTCTTCACTGATTCATAAGGGTTTTTATTTTCCCCTAAAGACAACTTCAATGAGAAAATTACCATAAACATTTAATGATGATATTGGGTCCATTATGGTATGTTTAAAAAAAAATACTAGCAGGGGCTGGCCCAGTGGCTCAGTTGGTTAAGAGCGCAAGCTCTGAGCAACAGGGTGGCCGGTTCGATTCCCACATGAGCCAGTGAGCTGCACCTGAGCTGAGCTGCTGCTGAGCAGCCAACAGGTGGCAGGATGGCTCAGCTGGTGAGAGCACATGCTCCTAACAAGGTTGCCACTTTGATCCCCGCATGGGATGGTGGTTATGCCCACCTGCAACTAAGATTGAACACAGCACCTTGAGCTGAGCGGCCGCGAGCTGCCGAAGGGTGGCCGGATGGTGACTGGACTTGGAGGTGAGCTAGCTGCGCCCTTCACAACTAAGATTGCAGGACAACAACTTGGCTGTTCCCCTTCCCCAATTCCCTAACACTGTTCCCCTTCCCCAATAAAATCTTTAAAACAAAAACAAAAACAAACAAAATACTAACAGACATTACATCGTTATATTATTGAATGCAAATGTTGGAGTAAGTATTTAAATGTCTAGACATGGTTCATTACATTGTAAGATGGTGTCTTTCTTTGAAAATAAGAAATCATGGGGCAGGCCGGCCGAGTGGCTCAATTGGTTAAGAGCTGGCTTAAGAGCGCAAGAGCTGAGCAACAGGGCCACCGGTTCAATTCCCACATGCGCCTGAGCTGAGCTGTCGCTGAGCTGCCAACAGGTGGCAGGATGGCTCAGCTGGTATAACAACAAGATTGCCGGTTCGATGGTGGGCTACGTGCCCACCCACAACTAAGACTGAACTCAGCACCTTGAGCTGAGCTGCCACATGGATGGCTCAGTGGTTAGGAGGTGCGCTCTTAACAACAAGGCTGCTGGGTTTGACTCCCACATGGGATGGTGGCTACGCCCACCAGCAACTAAGTCTGAACACAGCACCTTGAGCTTAGAGGCCACGAGCTGCCGAGGGGAAGTCAGATGGCGACTGGCGCCCTCCACAACGAAGATTGAAGAACAACAACTTGGCTGGTCCCCTTCCCCAATTCCCCAACCCTGTTCCCCTCCCCCAATTCCCCCATAAAATCTTTAAAAAAAGAAAAAGAAAAGAAGAAATCATGTGCTTAATAATATTATTCCCCATGAATAAAGGACAGAGGAAAGATCTAGCATATGGTTTTCACAGCAGCGTTACTTGTCAACTCATCACCATTTTAATTAAGTTTTTGTGAAACTCAAGTTCTAGGAGAACCCCAATAGTACAGTTACTAATGTATCAGGTTGTTAAGCAATAGTCTTTTTCTTTGAAAATGGGAAGTCATGTGAAAGGGTGATAAAAAAGATCTTTAGACAGATCAAACCATGACATTGCATTCCCAGAGTCGCTGCAATTCAGCCTTGGTCTAAAATAGTCCCATTTTTGTCATTCTGCTGTGAGAGCTTTTGACAGTCCTTGGCCTTGATTTTTCACAATTCACTGGCCAGATTTCCCTCTGCCCGTCTGACACGCACATGTGCCAGGCACTGTTCCAGACTCAGTCCGTTAAATTCTCACGAGCTCCCTTGGGGGTGGATGCTAACGTACCCTCCTTGGGCGTCAAACAGGGGACTGAGACCCTGGGACCTGAGTCACTGCTGAGTCTGCTCAGAGCCAGTGTGGCTGAGTTGGGCTCTCTCTTCCACATGGCCCCAGTCTCTCTTCCACATGGCCCCAGTGGCGGAGAGTTCCTGAAGCTTCTTAGGCTGGCTCTCAAAGTGAGGTTTGTGTCCCAAGCACTTAGATAAGTGTTAAAATTCAGGTTTCCTGGCCAGACCCAGACCCAGGATCTGCATTTTAAACATGCTCCCTGGATGAGTCATCCATCACCGCACACTGATGTCTGTGCCACCCAAGACTGCCTCCCATCTGTGCCTGGCTGCCAGGCTCATACCATTCACTTTCCTGCTGAACCAGAGAAACACAGATGGGGGGGATTCAGGACACTCAGAAGCCATTCATGGAGAGAGTAAAGGGGGAGTGAGCGAGCCAGAAAACTCCCCTCGCGGCCAGGATTGGGGCTCACACCTGGCCTTCCCTACACCACTGCCATTCCTGGAACATGCACAGGAGGCGACAAAAGGAATGAAACTCTAATGGTGTAATTTCCGAGAGCAGAGGGGAGGGTCTGGTGAGTAGAGAATGGAAGAGAGGGGAGGCTTGGCAGCACCCAGGCTTAACCACAGGTGGGCCCCGGCCAGAGCTCTCACCCACCTCCAGTCAGCGTGACCCTATGATACCCATTACCGCAGGCACTGCTGGGAAACCCATATGTGATCTGGGAAGTCCTCCCTCTCCAGGAAGTGAGGGGTGGAGAGGGGCAGGGGGTGGAGGGTGCAGCTCTGAAGCTGGTTAGATCTGCTTATTCTGCACCACCACCCCACCCCTCCCTTCCTCTCTGGCTGTCAGCAGAGCACAAGGTAAAAACGCTCCAGCATGACAACCAGCAGCCTTGCCTGCAGGATGAACGCAGCCCCGCACACTGCCCTGCAGGCGAGACTAGAACACGCGAAGGCCTGGCCACCTTACAGCCCACAGCGTGTCCAAACATCCATCTAAGGGTTAAGAAAGAGCCGTGTTTGCTTTGGGGCCTGACAAGCATCCCTTGGCCCTTTGGTAACAGAACCTGCTTTTCTGTGGTTTGGGTGGAAATGACTGCCTGTCCCCTCAACCCAACCTCAAGGCTCATACCTGGCCAAAGTTATCCAGCATCGTGGTGACCACAACTGATTCAGCGATGGCCACACGACCAAACCATTCATATTACTACCATCCCTAAAATTGTGCTATGGGTTTTGGGGGAAAGCCTCCCTCTCTGTCTACCATTTTGAGCAGTACCAAGAGATGCTAACAGGGTTGGGACCATCCTTCCCACCACATGGGGGAAACCAGCTGAGAACGAAGCCACCACAGAAAAGAACCCTGAGAGAGGGAGAGATGGAGACTTAGCTGGAGCTGCCCTTCAAACACTTGGGTCCAGCAGCAGCCAAAGGCCTGGAGCCAGAGAGTCTCTCCCTGCTTTTTTAAACTAAGTGGCTTAGGCTTCTGCCACTTGCAGCCTAGAGCCCTGGGTATCTTCATTATATGCATGTTAAAAACACCATAGGAATTTGATGTTTAATTGTTATAAAATAATTTCTAGATTTTAAAAAGAAAATTCATGCCTGAGATAATCATCAAAACGTCGTGAACTAAATGACCAGCAGGGTTCTGTTTTACAATTTTAAATAACGAAAAATTACTTTGACTAGTGCTTTGTTCAAGATATTAAAATAATCACAAGTTCAAGTAGTTATATTAACTGCACATACCTTTAGGGAGTCCCGTGTCTTGAATGGGATATTTGTCTGACTGTAGAAACCAACAAAAGAGGAATGTTATTTTTAAACACCATGGTCAATTATACAATCAAAGTGAAAAGAAAGCTTTGTCTTGGGGAAGTCATGCTTTTAATTTAAAACCTTGCAAGTTTTTCGCCTTGGACTTAGCATTAGAGCTGACCCATAAGCTTGTTTGTCGTCTCAATTTACAGAATTGAAACCAATGTTGATGAGAAGTTAATGTTGGAACATGAAACAGAATAAGCCTTCCTAATGTCCTCAGCTCTGACCACTAACCACACTTCCTCTCTTATCTGCAGTGCTATTCCCCCTATCTATTTCCTACCGTTTAAAACTGAGGTGCATTTGTTTTCATGAATTATAGGGACAGACCCATTTTGTCTCACCATTTCTGTGACACTCATTTGGGCCAACAAGCATGTGCCTTGGGCAGTACTCACTGTTGGAAGACTTCTGTCCTGAGTTGACCAGAATGGATTCAAAAGGAAACCACCCTATTGGTTGCACAAAGGTCTACAAATCACTTATCAAACTCTGCAGTGGTTCACTAACAGCCACGAAAACAAATACCTCGGGTCTTCAAGACACCGAAGGGCCTTGTGAATCACCAAAGACTTAAAAAGACATCAAATTTAATTATGTCAAGTGTATTCGATGTCATTTAGCTAAATAAGTTCATCAGAATTTTTCATGACTCAGTAGATCAGATCCTCTGAACACTTTAAAAAAGGGACTGTGTCTCACACTGTAGGTACAGTAACACCTGGAATGTTGTCAGAGGCACAGATTTGGTCCTAAGCAAGAGGCAGTACTGCACAGGAGAGCACAGTGACTTCATACAAGTCAGTGAGCTTCCATTTCTCCATCTGCAGAATGGGGATAAAAATGCCAGCCCCACCACTCATAGGTTGTGTGGAGGGTAAAGAACAATGTGTGGGAATCCTTTGGTCAAGCTGAAGGCAGCACGCAGGCCAGAGTGGTCACAGGAGGGTGAGGTGGAACCCGAAGCCAGCTGCCGGGTTTACATCCCACCTGGCTGCTCCAAGTAGGGCAACTGACCTCACCCCTCGCGCCTCAGTATTTCATCTGTAAAATGGGCAGTGCCCACCTTATAGGGTTGTTATGGGAATTCAACATGGTGACAGGTAAATCAACAGTGTGTACCCATCTGGCATACAGGCAGCACTCAGTTACCAGGAGTCAGTCCTATTTTTTCCTTCATTGTCAAGTTAGATGTTTTGAATTTTGAATTTTGAAGAAGGGGTGATTAAACATAGATAGTATTAAAAGTACTCAAGTAGACAAAGACCTTGCATCATCTGAGAATATCACTTCTGGAAGGTACAAAACCAGAACAGAATCAAATACCATGTTTAGCCTGGAGTTTATAATGCCACAGATCTTACCATGATAAAAAAAAAACAAAAACAAAAACGAAACTTATCTTGGGAAAATTTCATTTTGGGGTTTCTGATTTTCGGGGAAATACTGAGTAATAAAAAACGTAAAGAAATAACAATGGAAAAAAAAGGAAAAACAAAAAGTCATCACCATGAGTGTAAAATTTGTAACTTACCACGTTGAATGATAAAGTGCTAGGGTCTGTGTCTTCCACTGGCTCCTTCACCATGGGTTCTGTTAAAAACAAAACAAAAAAACAAAAACACACAAATAAAGGCATTTTCTTTCATTTAAAAGCACAAACGTATCCTTTGATCATTATCTTCATGTAGATGTAAGCTGCCATTGCCAGTCGGGAGAAAAACTTACTTTCAATTGTTAGTGGAGACAAAATAAGAAGGGATGGGTTCAAATTGCATCAAGAAGGAGAAATTAAGACAAAAAACCTTTATTTTCATAAAAAAACATATTTTGAAACAGTTTATTTATAAATATAAAAAAATACCTAGAGTTACAAATAACCACAAGTTATGAAGACATGATATTAACAACATTTTTGCCTATTGAATCTGATTATAACTTCAAGCAGGAATGATTTAACTCAGACTTCTGCTTCTTTCCTTATTTCCTACTCTCCGGCGATTCCATTTTTATCATTTTGAAATACTAAGCGTCTGGATGTAGTTCATGTGAATTACCAAAATCAAAAATACTTCACAGAATCTTTATCAAGCAAAAAGTGATTTTTGATTTCCCAGTATTTTGCTTATGTTTTTTATCACTTGTTGATTTTCAGAAATTTAATGAGAAAATGTAGAAAAAGGAACCGGCTTCCACTAGATCTTATGAATTTGTACAAATTAGAAAAAGCTCCCCCTTTCCGACACACTTTACAAAACACTGCCAGAAAACGATCTTAATAAATAACCATATTGAATGAGTGAAATCCTCTAGATTTGCACTGTGTGACCTGCAAAACCCTAGGTGGCAGCCTTGGGCTAGTCAAGGTCCAACTTCCATTTGCTCCCAGTCCTCGGTAAGTCCACGCTGTGGACCAGGCACTGGGTCCTGGGACCACCTCCGGGGATCCAAACAAGCATGGCAGCACAATGTGTGGGGATCATTTGTCTGTTCTCCCTGAGGTTTCCCTCTGAGAGTGGGCTTTCCACAGCTCGTTGCAATGCCCGAAGAAGAAGCGGTGTGAAGGGAACAACTGTGTTTGTTTTATGGCATCCTACAGTCACTGGAGAGGTAAAAGGCGGAGTAGGGAGCATAGAGAGAGATTTGCCAGTGTCCTCCCAAGAGCAGGGACAGACATCAGCAGCTCCATGAGAGGGGATTGTGCCCTGGTCTCCGGCAGAGCCCAGGTGGCAAGACCACATCAAGAATGCACAAAAGGGGTAATCCCTGGGTCCCAGTGTCCCAGCCCCAGCAAGAAGACCCACGATTTCTGCCTGGCATAGAAACAGAGGCTTGGACCAGAAGGACATGGATTCCCAAGCCAATGCACTAAAAATCCAAGGCCCCACCCTCATTTTCCAAGCACAACATCATCCTCTCAGAGTCCTGTGTGACCCTAAGGAGGAGGCCAGAGCCCCAGTTCATACTGAAATGGAATTTCCTGCCAGCCCAGTAGACTATAGACTAAGATTCAAACTTAAATCAACGTAAAGAAAATAAGAACAAATTGTGTTGATAAATCCACCCTGAGTTTACGTAACTCCTGCTGTCCGAGTAACAGGCAATTATATTAATAACACAGAGCACTTTGGGTTAAGGACGTGAAAATACACAGGAAAAGCCCATGCCCAGCCTGAGGTGCACGGTGGGGAGAGGGGAGCATGCAGGACAGCCTGCCTAGGAATTCATATCCAAGTCTGGATGGAGGAGTTGAAGCTAGCCAGTAGAAGGGGGTTGGGGAGGGAAAAGCATTCTAGGGAGAGGGAACAGCATGGGCAAAAGCCTAGAGGTGAGAAAGAACATGACACATTAGTGTGCTTCAAATAGGTCCAGCCAGACATACCTGCATTCGCTTTTCTAGTCTTTGCTTTCCCTACTTCTCACATCACAGCCTCTTGTCAACAATTTCATTTTCACTAAAGTGTACACTTTATAACATTACCCCCACCGGGGTAGTAGTATTGTGACAGGTATCAACAATGGACTTTCAGGTCAATGAGCTACGACACACTGGAGTCCTGGGGTGTGGGAGGGGGATGGTGGTTCTAAATGACCCTGACAGCATCCTGGATGGATATGCCCACTAGGACCGTGACAAGTTAGTCCTGCTTCCTACAGACAAATTAGTAAGAGAGGCAGGAAGGAGAAAAAGACAGAGCAGAGGAAAATGGAAGAGGTGGCCTAGGAAAGGCATAAATACACCAAAGGCAGCAGAGAGGATGGAAATTAGACAGCTGACAGGAAGGAACACTGGGCTGAGGGTGGGGGCCTGTCTCCTTACTGCATGCCACTGAGAGCTAGCGGTCTTGCCTTGGACAAGTCTTGTGGTGTGACCTTGGACAAGTCCAGCAGTGTGACCTTGCATGACTCACGTAAGTGTTAGCAGCTTTCTCTGTAATAGGATGAGGGGCCCAGGTCTCTGATGCCCACATTCAGCTGATCACCGTTACTCTGGTCAGCCCAGGTTTGGGAACCACCAGGAGGGATGAACTTGCACTCCCCCTCGGAGCTGACCCAGCTCTGGGCCATAGCCGAGAGTGTCTCAGAGGGCTCTGAGGTGAACAGGAAGACACAAGCAGACAATAGGGTTTGGAGGTACCGAGTCTCATGCTTTGGTCTGAAATCTCCGAGAATAAAGGGAGCTGCAGTTGGAAAAGACACGCACAATTCCAGGTTTTCTGCTTCCTGAAGCGTGACAGCAGAGTGAGGGCAATCAGGAAAGGCAGCGCGTTCAGGTATTAGAGGCACTTCCGGGCCTTTTACTATTTTCACTGCAATGGCTGTGACCAGATCAGCCTGCGCTGTGGATCAGGCTGTAAATGCACTTCCTCCATACATGTTCTCGCCAAACCGCTCACTGACCCAGGCCGCTGTGCACCTAAGCAGCCTGGGGGAGGGCTGATCCTGGTTATGTGAGGCTGGCCTAGAAGTAGGAGGTTGTCCTAAAGCATTCCTGAGAGCTCTTGGAGCTGCATGTTCACAATATTCTTAAGTATAAAATCCAACAGTTTAGTTAACAGCTTTAAAATGTTTATTTTTAAGGGCCCCAGGTAATAGGCTGAGCCCCCAGACAAGGTTCTGGTATCAGATGGGACAGAGGAGATGAAACAGAAAGGGGACCATGCAAGCTCTGAGGTGGCAAGACCATCACCCGCCCTACCCCCACCCCCTTACCCTCCACCCCCCACCCCCATGGGGACCTTCCTCCCATTCTTGGCTGCAGCTCTACTGTCTTGGGCAATGCTGTGTCCCTAAGCTGCCTCGACTCCCCTGGATGGGGAGCTCTAAACAAGGGAGTCAAAGGGTAAAAAGGAAAAAAAACCCAAATCCAGCGATTATTAGATCCTGGGAAAATTGATTTATGGAGCTAAAACTCATAATAGGTTGAGGTCTACTGGAAGCAATAGAAAATACTGATGCGGTGCAATGACAATATTTTCCGGAGTGTCCATGGACATGCAAAAGAAAAGGAAAGGGAAGGGCATACCTGTTCTCGGTTACAAGAGTAAAAATCATAAAGGTGTCTTTTTACACTAGCTTGTAAATTTGACATGTTCACAACTGTGCCCAGGAAGAACTATATAAGTGCCAGATAGATAGATACATACATACATACACACATACATACATATATACAATAAAAATGGTGGGGGTAGAGAGAGACAAGGTTCTTTAGTTTATACGAAAAAATAAACCAAGAAAATTCTCAAAAAATAGGCTACAGTAATTAAAAGTTTGATGCTAGCGTAGATCAAGTAAACAGAATAGAGAATCTAGAAATAGACCCAAATGTCTCTGGGAATATAGAAAAAAATAAGGAAATAAACAAT